TTGTTTTTTTTTTTTTTTTTTTTTTTTTTTTTTTGGTACTGGGGATTGAAGTTGGGTCCTTGCGCTTGCAAGGCAGGCCACTGAACTGCTGAACTAAATCCCCAGCCCTATGTCTTTGATGTTAACTGAAAAAAAAAAAAATCTGTGTAACAAATAGGGCCTAAAAATTAAAACAGAATTTCAAATCTTTGGTTGAATAATGTAGAGCTATAATCTGGAATAAATTATTATTTTTAAAATGTGTACCCTTCCCTGTACTTCTTCCCAATAAGATTACAGAAAACTCCTGGTCAATGGTGAAGACACCTTCAATGCTATGAGCAAATCTGAATCTTCCCCTGAGGGCAGCTCACCAAATTTTGTTTAAAGGAGCATTATGCGGGTATACAACACCCACACTTATTTTTAGATGTATTTGTTGATGAATTAATTTTAATTTTGAGTTTCATATTAAAAATATATACTTAACATAAATAAAATAGTAATAAAATAAAATATTAAATTAAAAAATGTAGAGTGTGTGAGATAAATAACAAGATTTTAAACAGCAATGTTTTGTTTGGTTTTTTGATTTTGAGACACGGTCTCACTATGTAGTATAGGCTTGCCTTTATCTCATTACTGTAGTCCAGGCTGGCCTCAGACCTGAGGCAAACTGCCTGCCTCAGCTTCCCTAATGCTGGGATTATAGGCGTGTGCTACCATGCCTGGAAGCATCAATTGTTTATCTCCTTACAAAATCACATAATTAACAGAAAAAATAAATTCCTACGTGAACTACAATGAAAATACAAATAAAACTCTACCACAGAAATAATCTTTGCTTCAATGATCACACTTAAGGCAGTCTTCACACACGACAGCACTTTCCATATACGTCTTGCTTACACTGACAACATGTGTGCTCAGCCTTCATTTCCTGATTAGCAGCTGTACTTGTGAAATCTTTTGTCTTCCTTTTCTGTCAGAAGGCTTCTATTATATTATACAATGTGCACTTAGCAGGAAAATGAAATATCAGTAAAGTAAAATATCAAATATATATTGAGTATTTAGAATAAACATCAAAATTTTCGACATCAACTGTTTGCTTACTAAATCTAAAAATAATGACAGAAATAAATTCCTATGTGAACTATAATGAGAATACAAATAAAACTCTACCACAAAAATAATCTTTAATTCAATTATCACATCTAAGGCAGCTTTCGCAAATGAGAACAGAATGCTCCATACACATTATCACTTACACTGACAGCATGTGTGTTTTGTTTTCCTGTCTTTGGTAGCACATACTTGACATCTTCTGGTCTTCCTGTTTTCTTGGGAGGTTCTTGTGATATTTCACCTGTCTGTGGACTGGTCTGCTCCAGAATTCTTTTGCAGTTTTTTTGGCAGATACATACTATTCTTCCTCTGTTGTCATTAATCATTTATCAGTTCCAGTACCAATCTTCTAAGAAAATTTCTCTGTGCTATTTTGTGCTTGTTATGTTCTTTGTAAACTATAAAACTATCTGTTGCATGTTTAGGATCCAGTAAAACACAATGATTGGACAATGCCTTGTTTTGAGTAACATCACAGTTGCTGCATAACTAACTCCTCCACAACATCTGCTCTACCTTTATTTTTTTTGTGAAATTGACCACTTCTGGCTTCATTTGTGTTGAGGTTTCACTATTACCCTTTTTGTTTGTTTGTTTGTTTGTTTGAGACAGGGTCTTGCTACCATCCAGGCTAGCCTTGAACTCACAATGTCACATTGGTTGACCTTGAGCTCAAAGATCCTTCTACCTCAACTCCCTCCCCCCAGGGCTGCAATTACAAGTGTGTACCGCCACACCTGCCTGGCTTCATCATCAGCCTTATTATCATTGACAGTATCAATATTACTTTGTTTTTCTTTGCCATAATGTAGTCCAAGCTAGCCTGGAACTCACTGTGTAGCAAAGGCTGAGCACAAACTCAGGATCCTCCTGCCTCAACCTCCTGATTGCTGGGATTATATGCATGCACCATCAAGCCGGGTTACACTATCAGTCTTTTCATCATTGTATAATGTTCACAGTATCAATACTACTTTGTTTTGCTTCACCATATAGGAAGTTAATGTTTTGTCTTTCTGAAATCCAAAGATTATAGTATACATTTCTCTATTGTGAAATTGCACCATTTTCCAGAAATATTGGCTTTGATTTTTAGAAAAGTTTTTGTGCTGGTCAACTAGTGGTTTTTCTGCAAATGTAACATCAATAAGTAACTAATGAACCAAATGCTGAATATGACATTTAGGTTATTTTTTTGAAATAGGTGCAAAAAGTCTGTTCACAATGTCTTATGGTTTATTATTGCACAAATAAAGGCTTAGTGGCCGAGTTCCAGGATAAATTTCTAAATTAAATATGTAAAATGTTTTTGCAGCAATCAGTGTATATATTTTATACCATATTCGAAAGTTTATTTGGCATTTATTGCCAAAACCTTCCACAACCACTAAATGATGCAAGTTGCTTGTCAATTGTTATATATTCAGACAGTGTATAAATTGCCCATCAATTAGAAAGAGAGCTCTCAAAAAATGAGCAAATAGTGTCCAAATTGTTGGATATTTTCTTCCTTGGTAGGTATTTCTGTCCTCAAAACGACAGCAATTTTGAAAGAAACCAAATCTCCTGAGTGTCATTATTGTTCTAAAAATCTCAGTGCCACATCTGTAACTTCTCCATAAATACTTTAGATTCTGACAATTAAAATGTTAAAGTCCTTCTATGAAAGCTTTTAGTTCAGATAATGAGATGTCATAATAAATACATTTTTGAGTATTATTATTGACCCACTTAAAATATTGTACTCATATTTCATTATTAGTGTGCTGGAGTCCATTTACATTATTGCCCCAAGTAAGTGGGGAAAAAAGTAGAAAATCTCCTTAGAACAGTAGAAAGATCTGATATAGTTACTGGATTTGTAGAATTTGGTTTATTTGGCTGGAATTTATCTCTCACTTTATAGACTAGAATCTAGTGATGACGAATCTTTTGAGCTTTCAGTGATAACAAACAGCCACTGCAGCATGTGTGCCATAAACTGGCCACCGCTAAACTAGATGGATTTCAGATTTGACCAAAATGAATCCTTTTTATTATCAATGTTTTCTTTATAATCAGGTATTCATTTTCCAGACAGAAAGATAATCCCTCAATTGAAAAGAAAAGGAGCCCATTAAATATCCATTAATCCATGGGTTAATAACAACCATTATTAATTTACATTGTCAAGATTTCTCTTACAACTACTGACTGCCTAAGATAGTACATCTGTACATCTCAGAACTTCATTCCTATGTTCTATATGAAATAGACCTTGATCACACTGTCAAAGGAGTTTGAAATCAAATATGCTATTGTTGTAGTTTAAGCATTTTGTAAATTTAAGGCTACAATTTAGGACATTTTCATTCTTCACTTGGTCAAATTGTTAAAATGAAACAAGCCATAAGTTTAAATTCCCTTGTCCTTGCTGTCACCGAGGGCTCTAACTAATTATTCCTATCAGATTTCAATAAACAATAGCCAAAGGGATTGTGGACATAACTGTCCTAGAATTCTCGGTATCGAGTCACTGAGTTAGCTAAGTTTTTGTTTACTAATACTTCTGGAGTCAGAAACAGAAAATGTCACAGAAATCAACAAGGCAAAAACAGAAGAAAAAAAATATGAACATTTAGATACAGATGAGAAATTCTTCCAAGTCAGAATTTTTTTCTTAGCACTGTCACTATAATTATTCTATAACTTAATTCTTGAGTCATCATGCCAATGATATCAGAGTACAAAATTAAACCAAACCCCCCAAAATTAAACACCAGTGCTACCCAGAATATAAAAAAAGATTGCTTTTTTTAAGTGAAAGAAATCAATTGGTAAACAACAGTATTTGAAGTTGATTACTGACATACTCTGTACTTGACACATGAAGGAAGGGATCAAGGTCAAGGTCAAAAGGTAGGGAAATCACCCAGGCATGACTTACTTCTTTGTATCCAAAGATGATGCGTCCATCTATCAGAAGAGTCGCTTGGAATGTAAAGCTTCCCAGGTTGTAGTTATCCTGAAGATGCACATGGTCCCACTGGACAACTAGTGCTGTCCCTAATGGGAAAAAGAAGAAATGCATGAGAAAACACATGAATCACAGGAAAGTTAGTCTGGCCTTCAAAGCCAGTACTTGTGCTATTTCAATTTTATGTGGTCAACTGGAATTCTGGTATTGAAATAGCATTTGGGATCGCTTTTAAGGGACTGAATATTCTCTAAATATCTGGTAAAACTCTAACTTCATACTGAGGTTAATATTGAGCCAACCCAGTATGAGGGAACTTTGCCTTAGGAATTTCATTAATGAGAATGGGTACTATCTGCTTAAATTTCCAAGAGCCACTTTCAAAATAGAGCCCAAGTGGATTGAATGAACATCAAATACTTTTGACAAATGCTGAGAAAGGAACATATTAAAAAAACCTAGGCCCACTTATAAAAGACCTGAAAATGTCTTTTCTATACTTAGAGTTACATTCTTCCACATTTAACACTAATGGGAATTTTCTTCTTTGATTCACAATGCCAGCATTTAAGTCTTTGTTGTATGGCTTCCAGGAGCTGCAAGGTAGCTTGAGGAGCCCTGGGCTAAGATTTCTGAAGCCCCTTTGCAGTGTACTGGGGTGAATCTGCAGGCTATATGCTAAATTCTGATGCCTCAATCTGCCAGTGTTTACTATGAAACTATCAACATGAAATATAAGTTGAAAAATAGATTAATACTCAAATCACCAATGAACATTCATATTTTTATGCAACTGACCTTGTGAATTCTATTTTTATTTTCAGAACACAAATAAGTTAAGGCTTCTGTTTAGTTCTAAATGTTGGATTTTCTCTTTGGTTAAAAAAGTCTTGCTGCCAAAAAGTCGTGTTAAAAATGAAACACTGAACTAAAAGAGCAAAACTTACCTTCTGTAGAAAGTGTGTGATTAAAAAAAAATCATGATCAATTGGCAAAATATTTTCAGGAAGCATTTTGGTGCTGTTAGCAATGTACAGAAATTCTTGAGTTAGTTGACAACTTTGAATATTTTGAATATCTAATTGTGAATCTGTAAGGGATGTTGAACTATAGAGATATACTATATTTCTTTGGAGAAAAAATTTAGAAGATAAGAAAATGTTATTGAACTTGATCTGGGTGCTTTTAGCCAAAGGGAAACATCACATTTTTCTGGCCAAGGAAAAGACCCAAGGCTCTTACTTCCATGGGCACGTTCGTGTCTATACTACCATCTCTTTTAAGGTAGAAAGGCTAGAAGATAATCCTAGCCAAGGGGGAAACTGCCTGTAATTTTGTAATTACAGGGCTTTCTGCACAGGAATGACTTGAAGCTTCTTTTGCTTGCCCCATGTCTTTAACTTTCAAGCCTCAGTCTGTCTCATACTGTCACTTCTATCACAGCCTTGCGGTACAGTGGAAGGAAGAGGCAGATGGCAGAAGACCTAGACTGATGTCCTCCCTCCATAACCCTCCTGTGTAAGGATGGCTACAGCTAACCTGTGTGAACCTGCTCCCACTTCTCCTCCAGCATGGGAAGCTGTTACTCTTTTACTCTCTGCACGTTCTGCACTGAATGCGTGAAAATGAGAGTTCTGCATAAATTAGCCAAATATTTTAATGAAAATCCTCATGAAGCTATTCTTAACACTACAGCCTTAGTAGCAAGTTTTAAAAAGCAACACTGTAAACGTTGTTTTATATTCTGTTATAGTATAGCTCCTCCAACATTTGTTGATTTCAAGGCCCTTACATGATACCAACAGACAGACTGTTGAGTATGTGTTCATTAAATTTTTAAATAAGCTAAATATTTCTATTCTGTGTTATCAAACAAACAATATTTCAAGTTTCATCTTTTATTAAATATTGCTCTAAAACTTTATGTCAGGCAGGTAACTGGGAGCGGCCTTTACAGATAAATGTTTGTTCTGATCTTAGTATTTTTGCAATCAGTTCCTTACTCAAAATATTGCTTTCCAAGCAATGCATAGTATGGGAAACAAGTATGTTTAAAACAAAACCATGTGCTGAAGAATTAAATCACATTTCTAAAGAGCTTGGTGGTCCACCTCTAGGCTGCTTCTCTTAAGCTCAGAGATCAGCCCACATGAACCAGAGAGACCATCTTACTGGGACAGTTTCCTTAACCATAATCAAATTGCCTGATCAGTAATAGCTACCAGTTCTTTATCTTCAAAACAAACAAACAAAAAAGAACTAAGATGAACCAGTGCTACTTAAGGTCATTAACAACTCCAGATTTTTTTTATTCTAAACTTGATCAGGTTTTCTGATCACTGTTAAGAATTATATTGCACTGGTTTTTATTTATGAGCCATCAAGTTATTTTTCTGGTAAAAGTGCTTACTTTGACAGCTTCACCATTTTTGTGCATTAATATTCTGTGACTTACATCACAATTACCATTCAGGCAAGCTATAACCTTTTGAAGCATCAACTCATTTAAAAAAAATCTAGTACTTTAATTCTCATAGAAATATTGTAAAAGAAAGATTCTAACCTGCTGCTGTTTCCTCTAGAGATGTTTTGGTTTTCTAAAATGCTGCTCCCCATCCTTACACACATTCTGTCAATGATTCTAACAAATCAATGTTGAGAATATTTCAGCAAGCTGCTGAAACAGGAATTTGTGAAGAGTCTTACAGTATTGGAAAGTACGTTCCTCATCATATCATGGAAACTCAGTATTCCCACTTTCACTACACTGAAAGTATTTAATGAGGTTAAAACATAATTCTTTAGTAGTAACATAGTTACAATTCTTAGGAGTTAAAGCTCCTATATTTATTTTTAATTTATTTATTCACTGAATTTTTTTTTTTTTTTTTTTTT